TACTTATATCCCACCTTGTCTCAAAAACAGTTTTCAATTATTTATAAAATGTATCAAGACAAAATAAATAAGAAAAAGGAGACAAATGGAAAATGAAGACAATAAACTAGACGGAGCCAACATTCTGACTAATTACGTTGTGAGGTCCTTGCTGGAGGGCGACGAATCTGGCTGCAAGCATTCTAGCAGAGTGAAATAAAATCTTTACAACATGTATAAAATCCACAACTAAAAACAAACCAGCTGCTTAGAAGCCTCACTGTTCCTGGTACAGACAGCAGAGAAGACCGTAACAAAGTAAACCGGCCCTCCAAGGCATCACCCGCCACAGGCCCAGCCTCAACAGCCCTCAACAGAAGGCCCATAATGAGATCAATAACGGTCATCCCTTTCTGTGTCCTGATTCTGAACAGACACTATAAATCTCACTTTACAGGTGGGATGCTGAGGCTTACAGAGGCTGAGAGCCTTTTCCACGGTCACGCGACACATGAGTGGCTGAACTGGGCTTCCAACTCCAGTCTGCTGCTCCCTCTCACCGGGACACACCGTTTCTCTGAGAGCATCAGCACACACAGGCGTGGGGAGGGCAGGGTGACGCAATGGTCCAGGGACTGGGGTAATCTGATTTAATGATTTTTTGGTGGGGGGTGCTCCAAGTGAGGCCTGAATAATGATGTTTTCTGTCTTCATTCAACTCAGTGCTGAAACAGTCTGAAAATATAAGCCAAGGCATTGGCCTGGATGAGTGAAGTCTCACAATTGCTAGTTCCTGGCCTACACCTTTAGGAAGCAGTGACCGAAACTATCGTTGTTTCTCTACTACCTAAACTTGCACTTGCTTGTTTCTTCCCTTTTAATTTTCTCTCCACAGTGGTCCTCTTCTTTGTATATATCTCTCTTGGCTATCCTAATTCTCCGTATTATTTTCCCCTGTTTGGATGTTTTAAAGCAATTAGTGTTTAGACTCTACCTGCAGGATATTATGTTTTCAGAAGGAAAAATCAACATAATGTAAGGGAGCCTTCCCAAACAGCAGGTACCTTTAGGTAGCCACGGCTACAGGCTATACCAACAGAAGAAATTAAAGGATGAAACCTTAATGTAGGGATTTGGTATCAATTTATCGTGTGACTCAAAGCAAACCATTGGCCTTTAGGACCCATTTTCTCAGTACTTCTGTAAAGGTGTCTTTATAAGGAGTAAGCAGGATCTAGAAACTCAAAAGAAATAAAGGTTAAGCCTTCAGAAAATCAGATTGAACTTTAATGAAAATTAAATGTATTTCTGAGTTCTTCTAATAGCTTCAGGCCACTGATCTTCGCTGTCAAAAACTCTGCAGACTACAGGCAAGGGGCTAATTGTTTGCTAAAATTAACAGGGATAACAGATGAAAGACAGAGATCCACCTCCCTTAGCAAGTGCCAACGCAGGTGTCAGGAGGTGGAGTGTGCCAGACTAAGGTGACCAAACACCTAAGAGAGAAATACAGATGGGAGAGGCTATACTCACGCCAAGGGCAGCCTGGTAGGGAGCGTCTGATGGGAAAGTAAAGGAAGGGCCAGTTGTCACGGGGCTGCTCGGGGGTGGGGTCACAATTAACCCGCTGGTACTTATATGAACCTGCCAAGAAAAAAAAAGTTATTAAAGGAAGACTGTATTTAATAGAACAGATTACACTGGCTAACCCTTGGGAAGGCAAGTCACATTAAAAATAAAACCCTGGCCAGGCGCGGTGGCTCACGCCTGTAATCCTAGCAGTCTGGGAGGCCGAGGCGGGCGGACTGAGCTCAGGAGTTCAAAACCAGCCTGAGCAAGAGCGAGACCCCATCTCTACTAAAAATAGAAAGAAATTAATCAGACAACTAAAAATATATAGAAAAAATTAGCCGGGCATGGTGGCGCATGCCTGTAGTCCCAGCTACTCGGGAGGCTGAGGCAGAAGGATCGCTTGAGCCCAGGAGTTTGAGGTTGCTGTGAACTAGGCTGACGCCACGGCACTCACTCTAGCCTGGGCAAAAGAGTGAGACTCTGTCTCAAAAAAAAATAAAAATAAATAAATAAAACCCTAAAGTTTCTATTAATTTGGGAGAGTAGAATCCCTTTTAGTTTACTTCACCCAAATTTACTGGTTACCTAATTTGTACCAGGCAATTTTACTAGCTGCTGGGCAGTCCTACGATAAACACTGGTCCCCACGAGGCTTCACACACAGAGGCCGACCGCTGCTGGCTTTCACGGTAACAGACTTCCTCCTTTTGTACGGCGCCTCGAGTCAAACTGACCTCTCAGACGGTCAGCCTGGTGCTCACTAGCCTCCTAACCATTTCCCTGAAGATCCTGTGAAGGCAGGTTTGGCTAAACATGCACCTGTCAGTCAATATGTTAAATCTACGTGAAAGTCGCACGGTGTTTGGCTGTTGTCAGGATCATTTTTCAGGACTTCCACCTTCCAGTGGGGACGCACGATTAAAATGCAACTGCCTAGACTTGCCTACACAGCAGCCAATTACTTACCAAATCTTTAAAGGAACAATGTCAAGCCAAATTAGTTGTTTTCAAAGGTGTCTTATCCATGATACTACCCAAGATTAATTTACTTGAAAGAAATTGAGTTATTCAGGTCATTTCGTGGCCCGTGTTCAGCTGCTCGATCAATTTCACTCAGGTTGCAAAGCAGGCCCGACTGCAGGATGCTGCGTGTCACAGGGCAGGGAGCCTGCACAAGTGGCTCCTCCGCTGGGAAGAGAAGCACTATGGTTGGCCAGTACCTTGCTTCCCCAAGGAAATGATGACACACCAAAAAAATGCAGGTTGTTAGTAATAAAAATTCTAATCCCAAACACAGTTGCCTCAATTCCCATAAATTAAGAGAAAGATTATGGGGACAAGAAAAGCTCAGAGATTAGTTCCCAGAGACCCTGAAGGAAACGCTCAGTGTCCCACTGGGACAGGCCCTACCAAGGCCAGGTAATCGGCATCACAGCATATAATTTATTTTCTCAAATAACTCCGTGTTGCGCATGGAATCCACAACCTTTTACAATACAGTCGCATCTGTTAATCTACATATTGACTGAACCTAAGACTTGAACCCTGGTAGATCCAGGGGGTGCCACTAACTAGAGTTTCTCCCCAAACCCTCATCTTCTGCCTCTCCTGTGAACCAAAGTCTATTTCCAATCTAATTTCTAACGGGAAGCACACGGGTTTTCATTCTGGCCTTCAGCTACTTTATCCAGTAACTCCATCTATATACACGCTCCAAGGACAGCCGTAAGTTGGCACCACACGAAAGAGGAAGCCTTTCTCACAAGACACAATGAAGCTCATCTCGAAGCGCACATCACTCTCAAGGAAACTTTGGGGCAGAAAAAACATACCAAAATATAGCTTCCTACGCCTGACCCTACAAATACCTGAGCGAGATTTCATAATTGATTGAAGTTTCTCCAAAAGCCCCGGAGTGGGAGTCAGAATGACGCATCTCTGGACCCCCGAGCAGCTGGGCCAGAGGCTCCCCACAGTCACCGCCATCGCGACGCAGGAGTGAAGCACAGAGCCCGGAGAACCCTGCAAGTACCACCTAACGTGGGCTGTTCCTAGCACCGGAGCAAAGGCAGAGATGACGCCACCAAAGACGACTGAAAGCAGAAGCATAAGAAACAGGAGTGAACTGACTGGGGCTAAGCAGGTCCCAGATAAACGCCCTGGATGGGGACAATTTAAGTTTCCATTGGGCTCACCCTTTTCTCATGGAACTGCAAAAATCAATTCAGTCCCCTCTCCAAGAAGGTCCCCTACGTGAAGCGGGGACTGAGCTGGGAGAGCAAACAGGAGAGCTGGGTGGGCCTGCTTGCTTCCCAGAGGCAATGCAAAGATGCTGCGGAAACGCTTAACGTTATGAATCACTCCTCCAGCTGGCAGAGGCCAAAAAATACCGTAGGTGTGGTCGGGGAAGCAGACGAGACGTCTTGGATACCTGTACTATCATGTGCAGTTACGGATGTCAATCACAGGCACCCATGCGTGACTCTCTGATCTGGTGACCCACCTGGAGAACACAGGCTAGAACTCATCTTCCAATTTGTGTTTTGAGAGTTCTGTCACTACTCAATAATCACTAACTATCACAGCAAGCCCTGTACTCCCTTCTGTCCATTCACCAACCTGCCGCCTGGAATTTGGATGCGACAGTGAGATCGCTAATTGCCACATAGAAACATGAGCGCGAGAACCTCCCTGTACGGCAGAGAGGGGAGCTGAGAACTTTGTGGTGCCATCCTATCAGCACCCGATTCCCTACAGCTGGATTTCACTGGGACGAGAGAAAAATGAATACTAACTTCTTTAGGCCCCTTACTTTTGATTTGCTAATAAATGCGACCAAACCTAATCCTAACTAATATATGAAGAGAAAAAAAAAACGGAAAAAAATTTGAGGGTAAAGGTCAGCATGAGTAAGGAAAGGAAAACAGCCATGTGGCAGATGAAGGGGACAGTTCTGCGCTGGGCCCCAGTTAAATCACAGACAGGTCCTTTGCTGGTGAGGGGAGAAGGAAAGCCCTGTTTTAAACGGTCTCACAGGAGCCATTTTCCCAAACACACTGATCTCCACGGTCAGGAGACTGTTTGCACATCACATATGCGACACATGCTCAGTGCTTTCTTGTGGACGGCAGTTCCCTTCAGTGTACACAGTGCCCTAGATAAGTGGTGTTTTCTATAAACCTGGGCTGGGGAAACCAGGCAGCACTTCAAACGTCTCCCATCCTCTTCTAGAAATAACTTCCCCCTGAGGCAAAACACCACCACTGAAAACAGTGAACTGGAACACGGGAGGAGGGTGGAATGGCTGAAGGGGAAACCGTTCTAATGGAACACAGAAAGAGCCTTGTTCCCTGAGCTACTGAAACCAAAACAAAAATAGCTCTGCGTTTACAGTCTCCATCCCCAGCCCTGGCGTGGCCGCGTCAGGCGTGCTCACACCTGACTGCGGAGTTCCCTGCGAAACACGGACGCCCTCAGTTTATCTTCCTTTCTCTCTTAATTTTCTCTGCTGCCAAACAATTACTGTTCATTCTTTTAAAGCTATTCCCATTCTAAATTGTCACTATTCTTAGCAGAAGCTTGTCTTTTATTTCAAGAAAACATCATTGTACTAAATGTTGCTAGGCCGCCAGATGAAAAGTGCAGTTAGAATGGCTGCGCTTTCTGTTCGTCAACGGCCATCTTTATTAACAGCTCCCTCCTCCAGCACCTTATGCAAAATCTTCAGTTTCTAACCCTTCTGGATTAACCTCACTTGGTACTTGTAACTCAGATCTATAATCCACATCTACTTCTCACATGAGTATGAGGAGTTACATGTAAAATAACATGGCGCCCCTTTCTACCCATTTTTCAAGTGACCCATTCATTCAACAAGTACTTATTGAGTGCCTACTGTATGTCTGCCGTTTGGAACATTATCAGTGAACAAAACAAAGACCCCTGCCTTCCTCACACTCACGCTCCAGTCCTGGGGGTGTGTGTCCTATTTTCCTCAATAAGATCAAAAGTTTCACGGCCCCAACACCAAAAAAGCACCGTAAGACCACAATGCCATTCTGAAAGTGAACGCAGAATGTAACTTGAAACATGCAGTCTGAATCTCAAGGAGCAGGGTCTAATAAATGAGGCTGAGAAAAAAATAATTTTTAATAAAATTGGCAAGGAATATCAAAAACTGTATAATAAATTTTTATTCTGTGGTCCAAAACAGGCACTTCTTAAACTCTAAACTTCCTGAGGACCAGGACCATATCTTTCTGTCTCTTTTTCTTTGAAGGGGAAATAATTTCATTTTTATATTTGAATAAAAAAACCCCACAGCTATATGGTGAAGTACAATGTAAAATCTGAATGAATTTTAAAAATGAAACATGAGATCTGAAAGAAATTTCTTCTTGCAGCAGGCTGCTCTGAACTAGGCTGACCTTTGAGGAAAATACAGCCATCACCAAAGTGGATAATGACCGCAGTCCTGAGACTTGGGCAAGGCTACAATCAGGCTTGTTTTTAGTCCAGAATTAAAGCCTAACACAGAAGTCCTGTATCTTACACATCTTGGCTACACAATGCCTAGAAGGGTCTAATAGCAAGGCGCTCAATGAATGTGTGCCAAACAATGTTCCAAGTCACCGTGTGCTGTTATTAACAAAAGAATAATGTGTGGCTATATTTTAAGCCAGTCCAAAGTCCTGATGAACTCATGAGCTTAAAAAAAGGCAAGGCCAATATCTAATTTAAATTAAATGTTTCTTTCCCTCCTTTCTCTGTAACTCTGACCGGGAAGCCTAACTATCAAGGTCAGCCACACACATGCAAGCGGCCACAAACACTGAGTCTGGATCACAGCTTCTTGATAGCGTTGGTGAGGTCTCCCAAACCAGCGCTGTGAGTTGTTCCGTAAGACTGAGCGATGGGCTTGGTGAAACCGGTAAGCGTCATTTCACTCGTCTTGTAAATTCTGATCATTCCTTCGAAAATGACCTAGTGGTTAGTCCTGGGCTGATACACTCGAGTTAGCTTTCCCTGCTCCATTCTTCCACCTACAAAATGAAGCACCCTTTGTGGTTCCCAGGAAAGCCAATATCTTCAGAAGTTCAAAATGAGCGGTATTTTGCAGATAGTGAGCACACATTTGCGAGTTGGCGCTTTTGTGGCCGAGCTCTGTTGTCCCTGTGTGAGGACCTACCTGAGAGGGGGCACTGCAGGACAGCCCAGACAGCTCGCTGATCCGCGCGGCAGCCGTGGGGTTGCTGGAGCTGATGAGGACAGGGGGGCTGATCTCCATGGAGTGGCGGTGCTGGGACGCCTGGGAGGACTTGTTGGCCATGGTGAGAGAAGTGAAGGAATGCCGCTTTTTGGTGTTCTTCTTGGTGTCGGAGTGCTTTGGGGCAGTGCTGCTCTGGGCTGCTGCCGAGGGACACTCCCCAGCATCAACGCCTGGTACGGGAGGCTTGTCCCATTCTATCAGCTGCTTAGCAGCCGAGTTAAACTGCAAAAGCAA